TCTCCTCTTCTGCCCTTTAGTTTTTTTAAACAAAACACACCTAAGGGCCCGTTTAGATTATAGGAACTTGGAAAAACCTGGAAAACCATTTCAGGGAAGCTGTCCATTGAAGAGCTGAAGGCTTTGCCCATGAAAAAAGATTTTGAGAGAGAAAAATAAGAATTCTTTTTAAAGTTATATAACAGCTAACAGAAGAAATGTAAATAGTTATTTTAATGCAATTAATTATAAAGATAGTGTATTCAATTATATATTGAAAATAATGTTTATTCGCCTTATCTTTTAAAGATTAAGAAGAATATTATTTCAAAATTACATTATTTTAATAAATACTTATTAAAAAATACTAAAATGTCATATTTTTAAAGCATGAATTTAAGTGTATTCAAGTATATATTGAGAATAATGTTTATTCGTCTTATCTCTTAAAGATTAAAAAGAATATTATTTTAAAATTACATCATTTTAATAAATATTTATTAAAAAAAACTAAAATGTCATATTTTTAAAGCATGAATTTAAGTGTTTTTTTATCTTTTTTTCTCCTAATTTTTTTGAGATAAGATAGACAAACAGTAACCCCTTATATATTTAGAAATTAATTTTTTTTTGAAAATTTTAACTTAGAAGTAGCTTTCAAGAGATATAATCAACTATATTCCTTGTATTTGATTACATTCATTTTGCTCAATAATTCAAAATCTCAAACCAAGCCGATCTATCAAATTTGGACGGCTTTCTTGGAAGGTTTTTAAAATTCCTAATAAACCAAACGAACGTTAAAAGTGAGATTTCAAATTGACTTTGTGTATTTAAAAAAAAACTTATTTAGTAATAAGCAGTGATAGGTAATACACATATCAACTTACATTTTAATATTCAAGCCCAATATCTTGGTCCAAACTTTAGTACAAATGGTCAGGACTGTCATGAAGAAGAATCCACTCAACTGAATGGTAAACTTCCCCATGATATCAATTAAAGCAACCATGAACCAATAGCCTGGAACAGTTCTGCATAGAGCTATGAGAGTTTGTGCCTTTGCAATTCTGAAGACCTCATCAATTGCTTTCATCTCTTTTCCATGAGGAAGCCACCCAATTGCAATGAAAATGTCTTTCTGGAACAAATTTTGACTGTTAAAGGCAACATCCAAGAGGAACCAAGTGGTGGTGGTTCCAACCAAATGAAAACCGTGTCTTCCAAGAAATTCCTTGGAGAACAAGCCATATGAATCGCCCTGACTTTTAGCCATCTTTGCTACCTTATCCCCCTCTGCTTCAAGATCCACATTCAAAACCTTTGATACGTCTGCAGCAGCCTTTTTTGCATCCTCCGCAACCAGCACAGTGTACCGAGTACCGACCAGTTTCTGGCATCTTCATTCTCCAGTAATAGGTAAGTGCAGCTAGCACAGAACCAAACATCAGAATTATGCGCCAGACATAGTCTGCTTGAGGCACAGTTGAGGTTTCAGGACTATCCTTGTAAGCAGGAGCCGGGAATGCATGATTAAATGCACTTGACACAATTATAGCCACAATTCCACCAGCCAAAATCCGAAATCCTAGCATTGCAAACATGGCAGCGATAAATGCACCACGAGTCTTCTTGTTGGCTTATTCAGACATGATAGTAGCTGAAAGAGGGATAGTCACCACCAATGCCAAAACCAAGCCAGAATCTAAAGAAACATAAAGTTGTCATAACAACCCCTGCGTGCTTTCCGAAGGACAATCCCGAGGCAATAGAACAAACAACCATGAGCATCAAAGTTAACCTGTAGACCCTTTTTGGTCCCATTTTATCACCTAACCATCTGAAGAAGAGCTGACCAGACAGAGTACTGCAAAATGCAACACCATTGACTGCAGCTGCGACATTGATAGGGAGTGAGCCTGGACTGTCTTCGTGTTTATAGTAATAAATACGGCCGAGCAATTAGGTGACTAGGGAGATGCAAAAGAGATCATATGCATCAGTGAAGAATCCCATTCCAGCAATCACTGTCGTAGTGAAATGGTACCATTGTGTCTTGGCCACATCAAGTGCATTAAGCACTCCCAATTGTTCTCTAACCATGTCTGCAAATTAGTACAGGCCTTGATCTTGTAGTAATTGATTGAATCAATGAAACAGGAAAGAAATTAACAAAGCCCTTATCAAATGCTCTCTATAAATAAGTATAGGAAAAAGTCTTATGCAGCTGGAGTTACACAGCACTAACCACCGCATTGGATGTGGGCCCCCTAATATTGAGAACCTCTCCCCATTTAATAACCTTTGTTTTGCAATCCAAAATGCAAAACAAGAGACTCATAAGTATATATCATGACTTGAACAACAAATCTCAATTATATGTAGAGTTTGCTATTTTACAATCTTAGACTGTAAAATAGGGACTTTAGATGGGGGAGGGCCATCAATATCAGTAGACTTGCTACTCATTCAAAGGTTTATGTTTTACAGTCTAGTACAGTTTAAACTGTAAAACAGTTTTTCATTATATGTACCTATGTTTTCATGCTATATATGTCTAATATGAAATGGTAGTAAAGCAAATGAACCTGGCTCGAGGAAGAAGAGAAGATCAGAGGTGAAGAAAATGGAGAATGGATGCCATGGAGATGAAGGGGGCCGGCTTATCATATGAAACAAAAAACCAGATTTTGCCTCAGAATCATCTACGAGAAACCGAAGATGCATGAAAGAAGAAGAAAGAGAGAAAGAACAAACTTATAATTGTGTTGAACTTATAATATTTACATGTGGTGCAAACAAAATGATAAAGAGACAGCCTCCAAAATTTGGGCATGTGGAGACAGCATCTTGCACTTCAGATGGACAAGGTTTCCTATTATTTCTTTATCAATGCAAATGAGATTTCCGTTCTATAATTTGGACTACAAAACAATAACTATTGAATGAGAGACAATTCCTCATATTAAGAGATCTATTCTCCATCTAATAGTTTAAATTATGCAGTCTAAATTATAATACCTCAAAAATTTCCCAAGTCTTAATTTAATTATTAAGGGACTTGTGAGGAATAATTATGAAATGATGGGTAAGATGAAATATTTAAAGGTTAGACCTAACCGGTTTAGTTAAGTCTTAAAGGATTTAAACGCTAGTGTTTCGGAGCTTGAGGGATGAAATTGCAGCTGATTATTTAATTACTAAAAAAAAAAAACCCACGGTGACCTACCTAACTCAAAACACATTTTCCCTTAGCAGCACTCATCCCTTCCCAACTCCAATTTCTCAACATCTGGTAAGGTTTCTTCCACTTTTATTTAGAAGGTTTTCTAAAGATCTCTTTTGTAACCTTATTTCTCCACCATACCCGTGACTAGGCAGCCTTTGATATCAAAATTTCAGCCCTAATTCTGCCCAAATTTGTGCAGAAAATTATGGTGATTGTCATGCAAATTCTAGGAGAAAAGGTGCAAATAAGGATAACAACTTTACTTGCTTCTTTTTCTTTCTTTTTTTTTTTTTTTTCCATTTAAAGATGTTAACTTTATTAATTACTAAATAAGAATGCTAACTTTTAACATTTCGATTAAAAAGTTCATTTGTCATGTTAGTATTACCATTCAATAAATTCTTAAATAAAAAAAAGTTAAAAATTAGTACCTTTAAATATAAAAAGTTGAAAGTTAATATTTTTAAATAAAAAAGATTAAAAATTTACATTAATATTTAAAAACTAACAAAATTAATATCTTTAAATAAAAAAAAAAGAGTACAAAGTAAGCATCTTTATTTGCACCTTTTTCCCAATTTGTCTAGGCATTGATTTCATCCTTTTAGTGGCAATTAGGTTCTGATTAAATTCTGCTGAGAGTCACGTATTTGGTTCTCTTAACCCAGTCGTTTTATGTGTGAAATTCAAACTGTGGTTGCGTTAATTTTTCTATAAAAATCTGGTTTGGAACAATCTTTATTGCTTGGGATTCTTCAAGCTCGATTCGTATATGAATCATTCTAATTCTAGCAGCCCAACTTTATGTTAATATTTTGGCCATAACTTTCTCTACACGTCTGATTGAGATGATTCTTGATTCTGTAGAATGCTAGAAGATAGTGCTTTAATTTTCCTGTTGGGCATTCAAACCAGTTCTGCCTTTTCAGGGAGAAGACTTTGTTGCAATCTTCGTGTCTACAATCTCACCGGTGTTTTTCCCTTCTTGTCCTGCTGTTTTCTGGTTGTTTTTGGTTGAGAGCAAGTGCAAATTTAACTGTTATTTTTTCTGTTAAATGCTACTGTTTTTGGTGAGTGTTAAGGTTAAAATTGGGTGTTTAAATCTGTTGCAGCTGCTGCACCGATCCGTCTCCTTCTCCGCCACTTACGAGTTGGGAATTAGAGTGTTTTTGCACACCAAATTCTGGTAAGAAGTTACAGCAACATTAAGTCCTCTTTGGATTTAGTATAAGATGAATTACATTGTGTTTAGTCGCTGCTGATCTTGAGAAAAACAACAGCCTTTTTACCTTTCGAAAAATAACTGCAAAATTCTATTCTTGTCACGGTTTGGCTTAATTAGATCCTTGGGTAAAATGTCTTTGCTGTTCCTGACCAGTTTCTAGCTATAATCTGCTGATTATTCAAGCTAAATTCTACTGTTCATTGCGCTCTACTCGCTGCCAAGGAATCGTTCTTTGATATGATTCTTGTGGTTGTCTAGCTTGAAATCTTTATTTACTATTCGAGGTAAGTAACACGACACTTCCGTTTTCTAAATTTTTGAAATGATGGTGAGAACTTTTAAAATTGAAAATTTATAAATGATTTTATCATATTTTTTTATAAAAATAAGAAATTTCATGACTTTTTATATTTTTTTGAAATATGCTCTATCATTTGGAATGAGTTGGCAGCCTACTTTGTCTCAAAAAAAACTATGATATTGTTCGGGCAGTTTCACAAACTTTTACTGTAGTAATCGTGGGATTCTAACACTTGAAAATCTGAAAGATATTTTTTCAGAAAAAACACTTTAAAGTTTAAATTAATAATATTTTATAATTTTAAAAAAAAAATTCTCAAGAAAAATAATTGTAAAGAGAGAAGCGAGGAGGAATTAATTACCTCGCATGAACATAGTTGAGGGTATTTGGCTCTTGTCCTTGGCAGTGAAGCCACATGTCATTGCCTCATTCGTACATCTGTTTCCGATCACGTAGGCATTCCATGACTGCTATTTATGGGTTTTTTGGACTTCGTGTTTCGTTTTAGGCTTCGATATTAATGTTACGCCAGTCTCCCAACAGATATGACTCTGCCAATGGAAAGACTTAAACGTTGGCCATGTCGACATGTATTTAATTCGTAAGGAAAAACTAATTCTAATTATATTTATAACCCATTTACCATTGGGATGTTTAATTGTGATAATATGTAACTTGCTTATTATCAAGATATTTAATTGTGATAATATGTAACTTGCTTATTACCAAGATATTTAATTGTGGTAAAATGTGACCCATGCCACTGGGACGTTTAATTGTGGCCATGGCATCTTGAAGAGACAATTGGTTACACTATTTGAAATTTTGTACGACGTGTTTTAAAAGAATATTTTTATTGATAAATTCTGTTTAGGGAATTTATGTTTTTCACTAACATGTTTTTGAATCATGGTAATATTTTTGACATATTACACCCTTCTTCAAGAATATGCTTGTTATTGGTTATATTAATTATATTTTTCTCCCCATCATTTCAAATATTGATGCTCACAACACCACTTAAATGGAGTGAAACAATCCCTTCAGTCTAATAGTATTAAATCTTGAGTTAAAACTGTTCATCTCCAAACTCTTGTAGATTATACGTTCAAGCTACACAAAAATTCTTTTCTCTATTCCCCAATTAACCTCCCCAATTAACCTGTAAATAATTATAATATATTCAAAAAAAAAAAAAAATTCAAGTGGAGTGACGTTCTATTCTAGGAGCTTTGCTAGTCATATGTTTTGGATTAGTAGAACCTTGGTCTTTTTTGTAAATAAATATTCCAATATTGGAATGAAACAAGGATTATGACATAATTTACGTTGCTTGATCATTGAGATTTGTTTTATTCTGATACGTAGAATTTTATGGTAGTTATTGAATAAGTTTTGTAATAAGAGATGATACATTGAGGTCATACAAGTAGCAGGTTGTGCATGTTGAGGATTAATATGACTTTGTAAGGTTGCTAGAGTCTTGCTTCCTATGAGTTATCACTTGCAAGTAAGCGGCGTCTGCTCTTGTTCCACTCCTTGCTTTGGGGCGTTGCATAGGCTGCAGAACATTTTTTGAAAACAAAACATAGATTCCACAGTTTTGTTACTGTGCTACTGCTGAACAAAGGGGCCTATTGTTTCTGACATCTCTATCTGATCAAAGGCTTCTACCCCTGGCTCCAAGAAGATGACTGGAAAACAAAAAAACAAAGAAGAAAGAAGGAGAACTTTTTAAGAAATTGCTTCAAGGGTCACGGTAATGACCAGAGGTAGTGAAATGCATTTGTTTCAAACCTATCAAAATCCAGTTTCAAACTAAAAGAAAAAGATAAGATAAGAATTTCATTCCTGATGTGTAAGGATATGGAGATTCTTTATCAACTCAATCTAATTCCTCTAGAAGTTGATAAATTAAAATTGCTTAAGAAATGATTTTTAAGGTCAGAAGGATAATGGGGCATTTGAAATATGTGCCACTATAATAGTAATTAAAAATTAAAAATTGTAAAAGAATCACCATCAAGGAAACTGGACAAGAACTCAGAATCAAGAAACTGCCCCATCTTATCATTTTCGAAGCTAGAAAACTAAAGTCATTGATGATAATATTACTTTGCCCTACTTAAAAAAGAAGTCCACATCAAGTAACAAAGGCAAATTAGAAAAACTTAAGGAATCATTGACACTTGTATTACTTAAAAGTGAAGTCTACGTACATAAAGTAACAAAGGTAAAGAGAATTGCTGTATCTGTACCTTGAGTCCAGTAGAAGAACTAACATTGTTTGCTGAAGGGAAGTTCCCAAAGTTAAATATTGGTTTCTTATCTGAAGGCCTTAATATCTGGAAAGAGCACAATAAGGAGTCATCCACGCTCATCATGGCACCATCATTGTCAAACTCTCCACAGTAATTAGGTGCAGAAAAAATGGTCACAAGTTGCCTATTAGCAAAGAATTCATATCCATCTTCAACAACCTGCAAATATAAATAGAATTTCAACCAGAAGGAAGTTCCACGCTCCTGCCTGTCCAAATTTGACAAATGCTTCAGATAAAATGTATTCAAACCTGGTGCCCCCTACAAATCAAATCAAGATTATGCTTCCTGAGAAACTCTGTCACCCTGTCAGCACCAAAGGTCCAGGAAACTCCTCTATCATTGGGGCCCCAGCCTTGAATATCTTTACTAGGATCTGACCAAAGGAGATCACACAGTAGACCAGTTTCTGGAACATCAGTAGGTCTTTGCAAATTTCTTATCTGATCCAAATTATGCAGATCAGGTGAAAGTCCACCATGCATGCAGAGAATCTTTTCATCAATCAAAGCTGCCACAGGCAGGCAGTTGAAGCAATCTGTGAATGTCTTCCAGAGTTTGACATTGAATCTTCGTCTACACTCATCGAAGAATCCATAGATACGATTCACAGAAGCACATTCATGGTTGCCCCTCAACAGGAAAACTTTTTCAGGATATTTTATTTTATAGGCAAGGAGAAGACATATTGTTTCCAGGCTTTGCTTTCCACGGTCCACATAGTCCCCCAGGAATAAGTAACTGGAATGAGGAGGCAAACCACCATATTCTAAAAGCTTCAGGAGATCAGAAAACTGACCATGAATGTCTCCTGTGTCATGTAATGTGGCATAATATTAGACATATACTAAGAATGATGTTTATTGGAACGGACAATAAATTGTAGAAGTACCATTAAATGGTACCTTTCTGCATTTTGAGTAATGAAATGTCACATGAAAAATTCACAATAAGACAAACTATTCCTCTAGAGTAGCATTCAGGGCATATTTGTTGCCCTTCCCCAAGCATATGGAACATTCCAAGAGTAGGATTTGATACATCAGATTATGAAAACCCTTTTTTTTTTTTTTTTGCCACAAACAACAGACATCAGATTATGAAAACCATTTTCTTTTTTTTGCCACAAACAACAGATATCAGATTATGAAAACCAATGACAACCCTAGCATAAAGATATGGCGTTATGGAATAGTGCCTAACAGGGGAAGCAAATTACATGAATTTGAAGTGCATTTCTGTAGCATAAACTGTGAAGCTCAGTCCTTTGCCTAGTAGCAAGTTGAGAAGAATTACTGGCAACATGATATCTCTAGCATGTTCTTGCTTTAGATGAACTCTTTTTGTTCAATTAATGCAATGGAAATTGCAGGGAGACTTCATAATATAAGTTTAAACATCATATTTTTAAAAAATACAACTCAATACAAAGCTATTCTGGACCCCTTGATTCAAAGCCAAGAAATGGTCATAATGCACTGTATTCCAATTATAAAGGGAACAATTTGAAATACGTTATAGCTTATTGCATTTCAATAATTTCCGTGGCATATGTTATCATAATCTTTAAAGGCTATACACTTCAGAAGATCCTATACCCCTCCCACTTCCATCACAGTTCCAAAATCAAACTTAACGAAGAAACATGCCTTGTTGGAAAATGCTTCAATTCATGAATAAGAATTAAGAACTAAAAAATGAAACTTTTTTTTTCTGAATTTAATCAATTAATGATATTATATAATCATAAAACACTAAAGACAAGCAAAAAAGCAAATAGAGAGAAGGCACTTCACCAACTCAAACTCCTAAACCGACACAACCCATTTCTGAAAACCCAAAAATTACGCGTACCATCACATGAATTGAGATATTTTCTGAACAGATTAAAAGATTAGCACCCTCAGCAGATAGTACTGTCAAATTCGAAACTTCTCAGGTACTTGCAACGAAGTCCATATCAAATTGTCAATTAACACAAAAGAACTAGACTTCTGTAATTCAGACTCATAAACTGCCAGTACCCACTTAAAAACTATCAAATTTAAGGATAGCCATGAAAAAAAAAAAACAAAAAATTTTATATTGAGAAAAAAGAATAAAAGGGAATACCACAGATCTTAATAGGTGCTTTAAGCTCCAAAAGATTTGGCTGCCTCAAGAAGATATTCTTAGAAACAAAACACAGCTGCTTAATCTCAGTCTCAGAAAGCTGAACCTGCTTCACCTGTTTCCATCTAGCATCAAGCAATCTATGGATGACAGCATCAAGAACCCTAGGTTCCATATCCACTCCTCTCTTTCCTTATGGCTCAAAGCTCAAAACTTTGGATTAGAAGACAAGGCAAAATGAATATAACAAAGCAAAGCAAAGAGATAAAGAAAAAGGAGAGGAATAAACAAAAAAAAAAAAAAAAAACTATATGATCAAGCTAAAAAAGAGATAAAGACATGAACTTTAAATTCAAATGGCACTAGGAGGGTAAAATGGTGAGATGGTTTTAGGGGCAAAGCATTTTCTTTTCCCATAATTTTTTCCTTGCTTTTCTTTCTGATGGAGAAAGGAATGGTGTCCCTTAAATTGACAAGAGAGCGGAGAATATATTCGAGGGGTATGAGAAGATTTAGAGAATATAAGAATAATGGGAAAATTCTAAATGGGCATGATAAGTCAACAACGCAGAAAAAGCAGAATGAAGAAAGTGGGTGAAGAAAATGACCCCAAAAACGGCCCAGAGCAGCTGGCAGGGATGAATGGACGCAGATGGCGCTTTGACTTGGGAGTAGATTAATAATAGAGGGAGAGGAATGGGCAAAAATCAACATTGAGCCCCTCACCTTACAAAAATTGATAGGTTTTAACCTCTTATTTTATAATATAGCAGTTTTAACTTTTTATCTTACAAAATTGATAAATTTTAGCCCCTCACCTTATAAAGTTGGTAAGTTTTAACTCCTTACCTTATATTATGATATTTTTAACCCCTCACTAATACGAATTAAAGAAAATAGCCCTCACCTAATATCAAGTTATAACATCCTGTTAGTTCTGTTAGTTGACTGTTAACATCCATTAGCATTCCATTATAAAAAACATGAAATTTAAATTTAATTTTATTTGTTATTTCTATTAACGGAATACTAATGAATACTAACAGTCAACTAACAAAACTAATAGTTAATTAATAGAACTGACAGTCAATTAACAGAACTAATAGAACATTATAATTTGATATTAAATAAAGGTTATTTTCTTTAATTTGTACAGATAAGAGGTTAAAAGTATCATAATATAAGATAAAATGTTAAAACCTACTAACTTTGTAAGGTGAGAGGTTAAAACCTCTTAACTTGTAAAGTAAAGGGTTAAAAATATCATTTTATAAGATTAATAATTAAAATCTATCAATTTGGTAAAGTGAGAATCTAAAAGTTGGTTTTAGCCTAATAGAATGATGCATCGGAAGTTTCAAAACGGCTCGGCCCCTGCAGCAGCCAGCCAGCCCCGATACGCGCGTAGACTGCCTGTGGCAAGAGTCGCCTCTGGTTTTGATTTGTGAAGCAGTATGAACAGTAATATTATGTCATTTAATAATTTAATTGAATGTATTTACTATAATGTACACATAATATTATTAAAAAATAATGTATCTTATTCTCAATTTCTGATATAAAATTAAAACTTTAATTTTAAATAATATTAGTTTAGTTAATTATTAAGATTTTAAAATTTAACTCCTTAAATATAATATATAACACCCGAGTCTCATGACTTAAAAATTATACCTTTATTGTAAGGTGCATTTTCTAACTCTATGATTTAGATTCGAATCTCCTGTCCTTAAGTTATAAATCATTTAAAAAAAATATTAATATATAAATTTAAAAATTAATTTAAATATAATATATAACACCCGAGTCTCATGACTTAAAAATTATACTTTTATTGTAAGGTGCATTTCCTAACTCTATGATCTAGATTCGAATCT